CCTTAGAGAAGGGTATAGTTTCTTAAAAAGAAAAGAAGCTATACTTACCTCTTGGACACCGCATATACCTATGAAAGAATTCACTGTGCCGTGTCATCGTTATAGAGTAAATTAAGAAGGCTTTACTCTGTAACAATATATAAGACCACATCAAGCTAATTTTTTATTAACATAACCACCTTCTCTAATCTTTAAAATTTTATATATAAATAGTACATGAATTTTTTTTTATCCCCCCACTTTTTATAAAATATTTTATGTTATATTAAACAAAGAATTAGCTTGGAGTAGCCAAATATAAAAATTATATATCAAAATATATATACATATACCATACTCCAGATTGGGCTACGAATTTTGTAAATTATTTTTGCAGAATTATGATTTTAGAGTTAGGGTTGGTGTTAGGTTTAGGTTTAGAATATAAAAATTTCACTTTTGGTGGTATAATTTGAATGATTCTGAATTGGAAAATTCCAATCCGGGGTACAACATAGTTTAAAATTTAGATGTAACAAACAAATTTTAATAAAAATTTTCAACAAAATCGACCCATATTGATCTGTCGTGCCATATGGGACTTTGAATAGATAACTTAACACTAATTGGTTGCACTTGCATCGATGATCATTCTATGTGCTCTATAATGTGCATATCTAAGGATCTACTACATACAGAGTGTAGATAGTAACAATGACATACCTTTACTCGTAACCTTCTCAGCTTTGCAACTACAGTCATTTTACTGTTGTAGTTTTAACGTCGCAAGGATTACTAACACCTCGAAGTTTTTGTATTACACTGACTCAATCACCAAAAAGAGGAAATTCAATATGACCAGATTCACTCCGGAATCAGTTTCTTTAGCTTTGCTGATCTTGTCACCAATCTGTTTTCTTGCTACAGCCACTATGCAACAGCTGTTGATTGTAGATGATTTTTTATTACCTTTTTTACAAAATTATTTCAAAATTAAGGATATACCGTTCGTCATGATCGGTGTAGTGTTTGTTTGGACTTACGTGGTAACCGCTTCTCTAAGCGTTATTGCACAATCTGTCGGGCTAAAGAATGGTTACGACAATAGCGTATGCATCACTTTATTCTTTCTATATTCTATCCGCATTATTAAATTTATTTTGTTACTTTTAGGAACCAAGACTTTATAAAGCGTCTCTTAGAGGTGCATTAGCTAGAATGGTGGCCGCACATCAGGTCGCTTTGGAAAATGCACCGGGTAAATGATCGTTGAAGTGTTTGCTAGCATTCATGGTATGATATTTAATTGCGTTTCATAGCATAATTAATATTCTTTTCCTTATAGCATTTTTTGCTGCAGTTATTGTTGCATCGGCAAATAAGGTGCCTTTAAGATACAGAACTAGGTTAGAATGATGTTTATCAAATTTCAATGACAACTAATTATGAGCTCTGCTAACTATCTTTACATCCTACAGTTTTTCGATCATGTATACGGCCTTGCGAATTATTCATACACCTCTCTATGTGTTAGATTTTGACATTGCACGTGCTATCACACATATAATGGCTTTGTCATGTACTGCATGGTTATTTGCATTCGCTCTTTTGCCTGGCTTTGAAAAAAATTATTCATCTATAATTGAAGTTGTGACCATCTTGCGAAGCGTATCCGATGATTCTACATGGACATTTGATTAGATATGATGCTTAAGTGATAGATTCTGATCCCATTCGTTATTTGTAACAAATTTAAGAAGCTCGTTACAATTTGAATATATGTGAGTTTTACATTTTATAAAGAACAATTAGATTTATATCTGAACAAATTCTGTTTGTTAACAGCATATCCATTCTATTTTATTTTATTAGAAGGATTGTTCATTTTCACACATTAAAAATCACACCATTATCGTAAAACAAAAAAAGCATAAACTGAATCTAACACGTACGTTTTATTCTTTGCCTGCAGATCGATTTCATTGCAGAAATAATATTTTGTTCTCAGGATGCGTGCATTATTGTTCCGTATCCTCGTGTTTTCAATGATTTATTGTCATTATTTATTATCATTATTATTGCTATTATCATCTATATTTATGACTGAGTTTATATAGAGTAAGGTGGTAATTAGTTGAACATTGTGCGCACTTTTTGTCTATAGATTATTAGTTAACTTTGTTTGTCATATAATGTTATCGGAAATTCGTTAAGTTTGGATCTTCTACGTTTATTTTATACTTGTTTCGTAATTATATTATTTAGCTAATGGTATATTTGTGCTTGTGAATAAAAAGAAATCAGCAAATTTTTTTTTTTTTTTGTAATAGTACTGTAGAAGTTAAAATTTTAGTATATACTAATGCTAACTTGATGATAAATGATTAATCTGTACTGCGCAAAAATATAGATGTCATGTGATTTTGAACTAAACATTTTTACTAAGTAGTAATTGATTTTTCGTGTATCGTGACCAAGAATTTGTTCTTGTACGAGAGACTCATTAATTTCGTAGATACTATAATAATCACTCACGTTTATCAAATAATAAATTATTTCACGTTTATCAAATAATAAATCCAGACACGATGCCTAGAACAATTTTATTTAATAATTTTTATTTTTAATTACAATATAACAACCTTCCACCAAGAAATAATTGATAAAAGCTTTTGCAAATTATTTTATGCAACCTATTTCTTCCCTTCTATACGAGTCATATTTTGATTTTGTATTATTATGCACAGAAAACCTGATTTTATTAGATTTTTTAAAAAAATAAACGTGTAATTTTTTGGTTTTAAATTTTACAACGTATAGTTCATATAAATGCAATGCAATAACCATCGGATGCGGGACAAAAGAAAGAGAGTATTTTCCCGTGACCTTTCTTTATTTCTTGGAAGCTTTAACAGCTGCTTTGGTGGTCTTACCCGATTTATCAACCTTTTCAACAGACTATTAAAAAAATAAAAAATAAAATAAAAGAGAATTAACAATTAAATAATTTAAAAGGAAATAATAAATCTAATAAAAATATACAAACCTTAATAACACCAACAGCAACTGTCTGACGCATATCTCTCACAGCAAACCGACCTAGAGGAGGATATTCGGAGAAAGCCTCGACACACATGGGTTTGGAAGGAATCATTTTGACAATAGCAGCATCACCAGATTTAACAAATTTAGGGTTATCTTCAAGTTTTTTGCCGGAACGACGATCAATTTTTTCTTGCAATTCAGAGAATTTGCAAGCAATATGAGCGGTGTGACAATCCAATACTGGAGCGTAACCAGCACCAATTTGACCAGGATGATTAAGAACGATAACTTGAGCGTTGAAAGAAGCGGATTCTTTGGCTGGATCATTTTTAGAATCGGAGCAGACAAAACCTCGACGAATTTCTTTAACTGACACGTTCTTGACGTTAAAACCAACATTGTCACCAGGAACACCTTGTTCCAATTGTTCGTGATGCATTTCAACGGACTTGACTTCAGTGGTAAGACCAACTGGGGCGAATGTTACAACCATACCGGCCTTGATAATACCAGTTTCAACACGACCTACAGGGACAGTACCGATACCACCAATTTTGTAGACATCTTGAAGGGGAAGACGAAGAGGTTTATCGGTTGGTCTTGTTGGAGGTTCAATTGAGTCAATTGCTTCCAAAAGCGTCTTTCCTTTAGAGGAACCGCTTTTGATTTCTTTTGTCCAACCCTTAAACCAAGGCATGTTTGAAGATTCTTCCAACATGTTATCACCATGCCAACCGGATATTGGAACGAAGGCGACAGCCTTGGGATTGTAACCAACTTTTTTAATGAAGCCAGAGACTTCTTTAACAATTTCATTGAAACGTTCTTCGGACCATTGAGTTGTGTCCATCTTGTTAACAGCGACAATAAGTTGTTTGACACCAAGTGTATAAGCCAAAAGGGCGTGTTCACGAGTTTGACCGTCCTTAGAAATACCAGCTTCAAATTCACCAGTACCAGCAGCAATAATCAGAATAGCACAATCTGCCTATTTATTATTTAAAAATAAAATAAAATAACAAACAGTAAGTATAAAAATAAAACAATACGATTATAATAACATAAAAGATTAGAAAGAATACCTGAGAAGTACCAGTAATCATGTTCTTAATGAAATCACGATGCCCTGGAGCATCAATAACAGTGACATAGTATTTTGGAGTTTCAAACTTCCAAAGAGCGATATCGATCGTAATACCACGTTCACGTTCAGCTTTCAGTTTGTCCAATACCCAGGCATATTTGAAAGAACCTTTACCAAGTTCTTGAGCTTCTTTTCTATTGGTCAGAAAATAAAATGAAAAATAACACATTAAAAACGAACAAGAAAACATTAAAAAAATGATCTTTCGCATATGATTTTATGATTGATTCTTACTCAAATTTTTCTATTGTACGTTTGTCAATACCCTGTTAAAACATAAACATTATATAACGTGAGTTAGTTAAATATTGAAATATGGAAATATAAAAGGAAATCAAAAGTAAAACACAATAACATACTCCACACTTATAAATAAGATGTCCTGTGGTAGTGGACTTGCCAGAATCGACGTGGCCAATAACGACAACGTTAACGTGAGTCTTTTCTTTACCCATGGTCGCTAAGATGAGCAAAAAAAAGGTATATATGATTTACTTCAAACAGAACTTAATTCATACAAACTCTATACTAATAATTCGTTCAGTCATATTTGTATATTACAAGTTCTCGTAACTTTATGTGTCAATACTCTTTGAAAACACAAAAAAAGTTACTGCGGCGAAACGAAACCGCTCTTAAAATAGATTTTTTTTTTTCTTTTTTTTTTTTTCTTTCATAATTCCCAGCCAAAAAAATAGCAATAACTTTGTAGATTCGATACCAACGTAGATGGATGGATGATTTACAGGATGGATAGCAAGAACGCAAATAGAAATACTCACATTTAGGAGGCTATTAGCATAAAACAATTACGTAAAGGAGAGAAAAAAGGTGAAGAGGGAGGAAATCTACACAGCCAAGTTGAGCCTAATAAATACTATGCTGAATTAGGGGATTATTTTACTTTGATTTAGAAAATCAGTGGCCGGATCACTGAGTTTATGCCAAATCGTTTGTATGACACTGATTATGCACTGAATCTACCAATAAATCTACCAATAAATATCTAACTGTCACTTAATTTTGGGTCCTTTTTTGATACACACAAATGCCCTTTTTTTTTTCTTAGGATGGAAAAATATTATTTTTGATCCATGTGGGAGGCATGAAAGACGGTTATAATCGCAGTACGATCCGCAAAATTTTACATTTATTGCCGCGCTTCTAAATAAAATGGCTATAGTCATTCTCAAACTAAGCGGTGGAACACAAAAAAACAAAAAAATGGGGTTCCACCGAAACCTTGATTGTTTGATCTTGGGCGCAGAAGATGTTACTTATTTGTATCACCGCTTTTGCATGTAACGGTTAGGATCATCAAAACTATCGGAGTTACGTGAGTAGAAGTGTTTAGTGCGTACGTACGTTAAATACTCAAAAAACAATAATTTTTTATCGCCAAACGTTTATAACTGCCCATCATGAAATGACTAATATTTACTAGATTATTGTACTACTAATCATTTAATGATCGACGAACAATTCAATGAATTGTTTGAAAAAAAAAACTAATGCAAAAATAATTTATATTATCCGCAGTTATAGTACAATACTTAATAAATAAAGTTAATCGAATTTATGTTTCACGGACATCAACAGGAAAATTCAAACTAAATCATGTAAAGAATTGAGTTTTAAAATATAGCGATAAACGATGTCGAGGAAAAAACCACACACTTTTGAATTTATAATTTACCGACTCGGCCTATCTAATTTTTAGGAATGGAGTCCGGTAAATTAAGGTTTAAAAGCTTAAAGAGTATAGTCTCCCTTGGCGACACCCATATAATTCGTTTTCAATCTCCAAAAAAAGTCTTTTTTTTGCCTACCTATTCATTTCTGTCAATTTATTCGGTATCTTTCTAGGCCGTGCAAATTTCTTCTTTACTTGCTTCAAATCTCGATGAATACTATAATTTTCTAATGCTTGCGTTGTCAATTGTAAAAGGTAACCAAAAAGATCCTGCGTACGTACGTATGTATAAATAATGTTTAAATAGGGATTATTGTAAATCAAAACCTCAATAAATTTGGTAAATTATTATAGTACCATTTCTCGATTTTCTTTGGTAAATGGGCTTAAAACCCATTGAGAAATTGGCGTAGAATTTTCTGCAGGCCGTCCAATACCCAATCTGAACCTTAAAAAATAATGAAATAAACTAGTTCAAAATTTGCCATGTGAATATATTTGCATTATGAGAATATTGGATGATACCTCACAAAATCGGTACCAATTACTGATACAATATTTTCTAATCCTTTATGGCCTCTCATTGCAGCTAACTCCCCGCCACCTTAATAGAATTCGAATAATAATATCTTCATCCAGTTTTTGCGATAAGAAAATATGTCATCATTTAATATTATAGATAACTTATATTACCTTGAACCATCAATATACCTGGTTGTGTGTTTAAGTCATCGGCTACTACTATCAACTTTTTAGAATCGGTAACTGCATAATTTTTCATCACTTTTTGTATTGACGATCCTGATTCGTTCATGGCAGTCAAGGGTTTCATTAAAACGATCCTTAAGGAATTCTATTTATTATTTCGATAATTACCTATTTGACTATAACTATCGTGTGTATATATAGTAAGAACTTACAGTTACAGTAGACGACCCACTTTCATATTTAAAAGTATATGGTATATCTCGTACATCGGCTATTAAAGTTAATTTATTCATTCTTTGACCTTAATAAAATGAAATAGGGATTTAAGTAATGGATTGAAACTTCACCTGATAAATTAAACCGTCTATAAAAAACAGGTGCTCCTTCTCCTTGTTCAAGCCCTATTGCATTTGCTAAGTAATTTATAAATATATATCCGGCTGTTTATGATAATTTGACGCGTCAAAAGTATTAATAGTATATGGTCAGTAATTCTGTAATTAGAAGTAATTGTAACGGAATTTAAGCAGGTAAAAGCTGGAATTTGTGAACCATTATGACGTGTGGTGGCATATTCTTCTTCTGGATTGCCAAGACCTGCAATCACGAAGTCAACTGGCCTTGACATTTTGTATAAAAGTGAATAGTTAACAAATCGCTCTTAGTGATTGATAAAATATTTATTATATATCACTTTCCTCAAAAAAATATATCACACGTATTCAGATCGGGTATTACGTTAGACAAAGGAGTATAGCATTTCTATATTTCTATCTACCATTACACGAAACTGTTGTATCCCGGATTGGAATCTGTCCCCGGGGCAGTCCCGGATGAGAATTTTGTAATTTTGGCCCGAGTTATACTAAATTCTGCCAAAACAATCCACAAGATTTCCAAATCGGGACGATTCCAATCTGGGGTACGACCAGTGTTGGAAATTCAAAAGACTGTTCGCATTAAAAAAAATAATGATCACAAATAAAATTTTATTAATTAGATAAAAATTATTTATGTTCACAAATGTGAAAAAATTGAGATTTTTTAAAACAATTATTATAAAACGCACCTATGGTGTTTTAGCACCTAAAGTGGGTGTGGGTATTAAAAGTTTAGCAAAATTTTTTATTTCTGATAATTTTTTAAAATTTATATAAATTTTATCTTGCTTAATAATTATATATAAAAAAAAAATCGAGTTTTATATAAATTATGTAATGTTACTTAGAGGGCTACGGCTTTTAATTTCGTGAGGGTATTATG